ACCCAATCTCAAAAGGCGATCGGTCAAATCGACTGACCTGGTAACCACCAAAAAAATTCGAAATCAACCTTTTTTCTTTCTAGAATGACTTCAAATTGTAACATGAAACTACATTTGGTTATCCTAAGTAGCTCTAAGTTCATAATGTTATACATCTATTTATAATTAAATTTTATTGTTTTATTGCCCTTTGAATTATGTCCAACTACTAATCGCACCATTATAAGTTGTAAATCACTCTGGGAACATGCAGCTCATATTACCCTATCGAATTACATTATTCCACGAGCTGCTTCTGTGCATACCTCGTGAACCATTTTAAGTATATTATCATTATTACTTATTTTACCTAACCTAGTCTTAAATAACTTAAAAAGATCCATATTTTTGAATTTATTTACTTTTATAATAATAATAAATAAAGAGTAAGTATGAAAAACAAGAAATAATACACTTTACCTATTCTTCTTTTTTATTGCTGTCGGGTTTCAAAAAAGTTAAACCCTAATTTTGTATACTATAGATAGTAATGCACTAAAAAATTATTATTTAATTAAATAATGCACCAAAGAATATAGATTAATAACATGCAAAAAGCAGAGAAATTCACTTACCTCTCAAAATTTTCCTGACTTTCTAACTATGCAACAAAAGCTATTGTGAATTCATCCAAGCTAGTCCTTAACTTTCTCATGGGAACGAATCTTGTAATGTGATTGCAATTGACAATATTCTGTTCAGAATACAACGTTACACAATACTTCATTTGATAGATGAAAACCTTGACTTTCTATTGGTTATAGATAATATATATTGAAACGTGAGAGAAATCTATCAACGAATTGTGAAATAGAGGATGTGATAGGTGGGTGTGGCAGGAAGGGTCTGATTTTCTATTCGATAGCTCTGTAACCAAACAAAATTGAAGGCTATAAAAATTACGGTTTGTATGAGCGATAACGATTTATAGAAAATATTTTACGTTTGATTTCGTACATTTTTGAGGGGGTGATGGATAAAATAGGGAAGATGACAAGCTAAGACAAATGTGTCATGTGGGTCACACTAGTGGAAATTCAGGATTTTTTAAAATATTTCCTTGTAGAATTAAGAACTTAAAACTTGTACACTAGTAAAATATGTATTATTAGCTAAGATTTTATGCTATTTTAATTGTTATAACATAAACAAAAAGTAGTTTAATAAAATTTTGAATGTAAGACACTAAAATCTTGTGTCATGTGCAGTAAAGGGTACCCGGGGAGACAGGGTTAAGACATTAACAGAGATTATGAACAGAGTATTATCAAAGGATTTAAGATTTGCTTTATTCACAAATAAGATCAAATTTCATAATCATCTCACTGATGAAAGTTTTAGTAATGTAAACATCCATATATGCACTCACAGTTACAAATCTCAAACTTAAGAGTTGGTACAGAAGAATCTGTAGGTCTAATGTTCACAATTCCCTCCAGACATTCAAAGTACAGTGTATAGATTGTTTATGAGTAATTTGAGTACATTCTTATAATTTGTCCCAGAGGATAAAACCATTTTAAAATTTTCTTAGTTCCAAATAAGCCATGCCCACTTACAAAATAGAAGCTATATTGCTAAGCAACAGTTGTAATTTGAATGGTTTGCTTATAACCACTAGAAAGTTCTTGTCAAATTTCAAACAATTTCATACACTAGTTTATTTTTTAATTAAATATGACATGAGCAACGTTATCTACTTACAACGTAAGTAGTTGACAATGACAGAGTTAATTAAATATATTTTTTAAAGATTTGTCTGTGAATATATGAAATCAGTGTTGACTGCTCTGAGTACAAAGCAATTTTCTTGCTAAGATTAAAAAATACTTTCCTTCATACAAAAATTTTTAAATTTGATTTGCATAGCCTCTCAAACCTTTTAAATAAATATCAAATGATTTTTTTCAGTAAAACTTTATATTCTATGCTATTTTTTCTACCTGAACCCCATACAGACTCAGTCCATGACTGACCTTGTAAATACCATAAAAAACAAGAGATTAATCTAAAATACCCTTTTTTCTTTCTCAAATGACTGTAGATTGTAACTGAAAACCACAATTGTTTATTCTAAATAGTTCAAGGCTTGTAACAGTTTACATCTGTTTATACTTAATTTTTATTCGTATATTGCCCTTTGAACCATTTCTAGCTAATACTCCTGCCATATAAGTTCTAAATCATTCAGCAAACTCATAGTTCATATTACCATATTGAATGAAATAATGTATAAGTTGCTCATGAGCATACCTCATGAAGAAATTTTATTTTTCATTTATTTTACCTAATATAACCAAATAAGTTTCTAATTTTTGCATTTTATTTACTTTCATAACAATAAATAAAAAATATACATGAAAAACAAGAAATATCTCTTGTTTTTTACTATGACTTTCTGATAAAATTTAAGCCTACTTTTTTTTAAATAATAATGGTACTAGTACTCTAAATAATTTTTATTTACTTATATAATATTTGACAACTTAACTGGATTTCTAACTAACACAAGAGGGGCTTCAAATAATTCCCTCAGCTCCTTGATCTGAACATGACAAGTTAAACTTTCCAACTAAAGACAAAATTGACAATACTCTGTACTGAAAACAATATAGCATTATATTTCACTTGATAGATTAAAACTTCACATTTCTATTGGTTATAAGTGATACAATATAAAACATCAGAGAATTTTTGGCTATTTGTGAGAGAGAGGATGTGACAGGTGGGCTTGGTAAGTGGGTCTGATTTTCTAATTTACGACTCCATAAACAAAGAAAATTGAAAGATATAAAAATTAGATTATGCCTTAATAATATCTATATTAGAATGAGTAATTTACATTAAATTCTGTATTTCAGAGAGAGTTGGTAAATAAATTTGAGAAGGGGAAAGGCATAGAGAAAAAGTGTCACAATTCTCATACTAGTAGAGATTGAGGCTATGTATAAATATTTCCTTATAAGATTAAGAACTTAAAACTTATATAATATTAAAATTTAATATATTAACTCTTTCAACAATGGATCGGTCAATTTGACCAACCATGTGAACTCTCTGTACTCAATTAAAGTCTTTATAGATTTAATACTTCTAATTTTCAATATAGCATGTATATCTTCACAAAATTAGACATTCTTCCAGTTCATATTATAAATCTTTCACATACATATATTGAGTATTTGTTTCGAATAGTCCATGTGCAAAGTAATTTTCATATTAAAACTAAAAATACTTTTCCTCATCTCAAAAATCTCAAATTTCTTTTGTGTAATCCCTAAAACTTCCTAAATGCATTTCAAACGTCTTTTTTAATAAAAAATTTATAGGTCATGTTATTTTCTCTATCTTATCTCAAGATGGGATTAGTGAATTTTACCAACCTCGTAACTACAACAAAAATTTAAATAAACCTAAATTATCCTTTTTTTCTTTTTAGAATGATTTCAAATTGTGACAAGAAATTACATTTGTTCATCCTAAGAAGCTCTAAGTTCGTAACAATATACTTCTATTTATAATTACATGTTATTGTTTTATTGCCCTTTGAATCGTGTCTAACTACCATCCGCGCCATTATAATTTGTAAATCACTCGGGAAAAGCTCACGTTATGCTATCAAATTGCATTAGCTATGAGCTGCTTGCATGAGTGCCTCATGAATCATTTTAATTGTATTATTATTATTATTATTACTTATTTTACCTAATCTAGTCTTAACTAACTTAAAAAGATCCGTATTTATAGATTTTAGTTATTTTTATAATGATCAATAAAGAATAAATATGAAAAACAATAAATAATTGCTCTTGATTGTTGAGATCAATTATGCCTAATTTTTTATGCTAATGCTAGAAATGCACATAATAATTTTTATTTAACTAAATAATGCACCAAAGAATATTGACTAATAACATGCAAAAAGTATAAAAATTCCCTTACCTCTCAAAATTTTCCTGCGTTTCTAATGGCGAGACAAAAGATGTTACAAGTTCATCCAAGCTAGTTGATAACTTTCCCGTGGGAACGATGTTTGTACTTTGAATGAAATTTACATTTAACCATGCTGAACATAACATTACACAATATGTCATTTGATAGATGAAAACCTTGACTTTCTACTGGTTTAGGGAATATATGATTAAATGTAAGACAGAACTATCAACAAATTCTGAAAGAGAGGTGGGTGTGGCAGGAGGGGTCTAATTTTCAATCGATAGCTCTGTAACCAAACAAAATAATGACAGGCTAAGAGAAAATGTGTCATGAGGATCATACTAGTAGAAATTCAGGATTTTTTTAAATATTGTCTTGTAGACTTAAGAATGCAAAACTTATATACTATTATAATATGGATTATTAGCTAAGATTTTATGCTATTCTAATTGGTATAACATAAACAAAAAGTTGTTTAATAAATATTTCAATGTAAGATACTAAACCCTTGTGTCATGCACAGTAAAGGATATCCAGGGCAATAGGGTTAACTACATTTTGTTGCCAAGTTTATTGATGTACATCGATAATAAAGTAGTTCAATTAAATTTTGAATGTAGCTCTAAAAGGTTGTGACATGCTCACTCAGACCTACCTAAAGCAAGAGGGTTAAGTGTAGGTCTAGGCTTTAATATATTACATACAAGTTAATTTAAATGATAAATCCTAATTATTGCAAGTAAGCACACGTTAAAGCATGGTTTACATCTAAATGTATTTCAAAAAATATTATGTTAAATGTATCATAAATGTTGTTAAGTAAAATTATTATTTATAAATAAAAACGATTTTTTTAACCTGCAAATATTTCCAGACCAGGAAATTTTTAAATGAAACTCACAAATATTTCCTGATTGCAAGAATGCATGGGAACTCTGTAGTTATATTTTAGAGTAAGAATATGAGATAAAGAGTAAAGAGTCAGGAAATCTACAAGTAAAAATAGGTAACTAAACAGTTCTCACCTTCTACCAAAATCAAGTGTTGACTTGGTCTCAGTCTCATTGTAAGAGGCAGGAGAACAGCAAATAATTATTGTAGTGCGAGAATTTCCTCCTAAACTTTCTTGAAGGATTCGAGTGAGTTTGCTGTCACGATAAGGGATGTGACTTTTCTTCATGTAAATGACCATAAAATAAATATATTAAGTAAAAGAACTGGATTTTATATATACATATATTTATTTATTTATATATATAAAAGGTTAGGCACATTACCTTAAAAACAATTGTGAATATTGCAATCAGCAAGTCACCTGACAACCACTGCTGATATAAAATCGAAATGAGACAAAATGCATCAGGATAACATTTTGACACTGTTTGGCATTTCATAGATACTTTGATGCTACCAAAAATTGATAACTTTTGAGAAGGATATGTAAAGTTATAATTTTCCTATATTGAAAATGTATTTCTGATAGGTACTTACTTCCTCTCACAAAATTAGCTATTCTCGTTGAGTGCTGCACTCTATATGCAAACCTTTTTTTTTTTATACACGTGCCACAAGCCTCCTCCTCTCCTCTATTAGAATTGAATGATTCCGATGTGTGTCTCATGCCAATCATCATGCGTCACTTTTCCACCAATAGGAGCATGACATGCTCACGTGACGCATGTGACTCCCTCTATACTCCTCTACCAAACTATCACTTTGACGTTTGGCAGAAGACTTAAGCACTGGAGGAAAGTAGGGAGGAAGGGTGGGAAGTGTGAGAAAAGGTAAGTACCAATAGAAAATATATTTTCAGTGTAGGAAAATTATAACTTCCAATATGGTACTTACCTTCACTCACAAAATTAGCTAGAATCCCACATGAATAGAAGGAGGAACTGGTACGAGGGAATGATAGAAGTACCTCCTAAAAGCAGCTGAAGAATACCCCTAGAAATGAGAGTCAGATTTGAAAATCAGATGAGGAGAACCGCACCACTTCTGAACAAGGTATACTCTCTGCCCCTCTGTAAAATGTGGAGAATATAAGGGCAGAAATGGAGAGGAGCACATCTAAGTGGGAGAAAACTATGTCAGAACTGTGATCCTAACTATATGAAATAAATATAACTCAATCTCATGAATAGAAAAGTGGGTAAAACAATGGATGTACCCTCAGGTGTAAAGTGGCTAGGGCACAACAGGCCATACTTGGTAAGTAAACTACACCCAAAACCCATGCCGCTGGGGACCAACATCCACACAGGGGTAGGATGAGGATCATACCATCTTCAGTTCAAACCCAAGCAAGAGACCAAGGATTTGAGAATCACGCTGTCTCTCCAGTATGAAACAATTATTAGCACTAAGCTATCGATCTGGGGACTTCAAAATCCTGCATCAAAAGTATGTCTATCTCATGCAATCAACTCTCCCAACCGGGAAACTTACCAGAACCATCTAAAAAGCAATAATATACCTGTTTTAAGATAGGATGAGGGAGAGCCAAAGGACAGAGCCGTAACAATCCCCCATACCACATATGTGACCCACAACACGGATGGAGGAAAATTGAGGGAGGAAGATAGACAACCAGAAACATGCGTGAGGACTTATGTTGATTGGTTCTACAATAAATTCAAAACTCGGCCACAGGGTGCCAACATCTGCATGGGGATATGATGAGGGCTCCCAATCAAAGGGGTGAACTGCATTTTGACTAATCACTCCTTTGTAATTCTATATAATAAAGAGGAGGTGAGTAGATCATCTACACCTGCAGAACACCACCACCCTACTCTTCACTGAATGGTTATAGCCATCTTTGTGCAGAACCCATACAGGTGGGTGCCTCCACAGTCAACCACCCCAGCAGCTTGGAACTGGAAAGTGGTAAGGACTCCCATACTCCAGTAGAAGAAAGAACGGTGAAAAAGGCAGTGGAGAGTCTGCAGGAATGTCACCAATTGAGATAGTGAATGGGTGATCATGAAATCCTATTATGAAAAGCAGACCATACCGAGCTATTTACTATAGGCATGGCGGGGATTGGCATCCATCCCCTTCTGCTTTACCCAGGAAGTGTATGGGTGGTATAGTCTGGAAGAGGCATGAAATAAAATATTGAAAGGTTATTCACCCACAAGCATGATATGATGTAGATAATGGGAGACGAACGTATTAGGTGTATACCTAATTGTCGAATTTCCTCCAATGGATGACGAAGATGAGAAGTGAGGGAAGAGAAGATTCTAATCTGATGAGAAGACACCCAGAACAAATTCCAGAATAAAGAATGCAGGGAGGAATAAGCCTTTTGGGTCAAAAGTCTGACCCATTTAGTAAGGTAATATGGAAGTAAGCCAGATATGCAATATAACAACAAAGAGCCCTAACTGGACTCAGAAGCCTGTTCGGATTTAGTTGAGGGTAAAGATGAGAAATGGAAGGAAGGTAACTAGGCAAAAAGGAGGAGCCACTCTCCCGAGCCACAGAGGTCTTTGGGAGGAAGGGGTGATCCGAAAAATGGAGAAGATAGGTAGGATGATAAGGTGTACTGAAACATTAAAGGAACACAAATCTGACTGTCAACATCCCACATATTAAGAGAACAAAGAAATAGGTTTGAAGGGAAAGGTGAAACATAGAACACAAGGAAAGTGGCTCAAACAGAAGTAAAGTGATGGAATGGAGTACAACATAAATATCCTAATCCAGAAGGTTAGGTAACTTGGGAGGGCAACACAACCAGAAGGAATGCAGGAGCATGGCAAGAACAGGTGAAGTAAAAATGCTACAGTATCAGGAAAAATGAATAGTATAGGATAAAGTCACCTGATAACCTGAAAGCAAGGAGACCGAGGACCCCCCAGTCAAAAAACAAGTGAGAAAATCCACCACCTGAGCCACAGTAGGTGGTCAGCTGGAAATCCTGGAGTTGTAGCCCAAATGCAGAATACCTTCCACTTGCACTGATACACCTCCATGGAAGAAGGACATATGGAACCAGCTAAAAAGAAACAATTCAACAGCAGAAACCAGAAGTCCTCACCAAGAACCACAGAAAAGCCATGAGTGAAGAAGCAGGACATGAAGGTCAGGATAGAAGACCTGCAATCAAGGTTGATGAAGAAAGTAGGGAGAGTAGCAGGTGTTGTAACTATAAAAACCATGGCTGAGCTGGCGAATAAGAAACAATCATAAGGACCCAAAAAAGAGTGGAATGGATGAGAGAGGTCACCCGCTGAAGTAATCGGATAGGAGAATAAACATAAAAATATTAGTGGGACCAATCTTGGCTGAAGGCATCAACTGACAGAGCCTGAGGAACTGGTGACCAAAAGAGAGGTAACCTGTGAATTAATGTTCATAGTAAATGCATTCATCTAAGGACCATTCTGTCAGATACATCCACCTGGAGTGGAAAAGACGATCCGCAAGAAGAGTTAAAGCTCCAAGCACATGACACGCATTGAGGTGAATGTTTTGCATGTGGGCCCAGTATCACGGATCCCATGGCAGAAAATATAGATCTCTCGACCAAGTGCCCCCTTGGTGATTGATATGTGCCACCCCCACAGAATTGTAGGAAAGAATCATCACCAGAGAATGTCAGGCGAAAAGAAGGAAGTGATCCAACACCCGACAAACAGCAAGAAGTTTGAGAACTTTGATGTGGCCCGAAGCTTCCTGGTGGTTGGCCCATGCACCCTAGCCCAGTGGGGATCCGTCTGTGAAAGGATGTAGATCCGGACTTGTAGAGGAAGTGGTACGCCCACTGAAGTATGTGCCTCGTCCAACCACCAAAGCAGATCTTCTCGCTTGGTAAGAGGAAAGGTAATAGAAAAAGAAAGAAGATCCTGTGCAAGGTTCTATAGATTGGGAAAAGCCCACTGAAGGGATCTTATATGAGAATGACTGAGAGGGGTCAGTGATGTTATTGAAAACCACATCAATGAAGGCAATTGAACCTTGCGAGCAGTAAGTGATGAAACCAAGAGGACAAAGCAAACTAACAAGTCCATAAAAGGAAATCAGACAGGAGAAGGCTGGGCCCGACTGATACAAGTGTCAAAAAAGATTCCCAAATGTATGAGATATTGAGTAGGTCTGGCTGATTCTGGTTTGGAATGAACCAGAAGAAGTCAGGTGTTTATGATATAAAGAACTCAACCCCAGAGCATAAAAATATCAAGCAAATGCTCAGACTACCCAACATAAAACACATGGGACTAAAGCAAACCTGAATGGCAGTGCACAAGATCAATAAACCACCCAGAGATAAACAAACCAAAGATAAGGACAGGACCGAGTTGAAATAAGTATATGGAAATAAACCTTGGTGAGATCGATTTTGGTCATCCATAAATGCAGAGAAACTGGGGCAGGGGAATGAAGCTGTTGGGGTGAGATAAATCTATGACCAACCTCCAGTCCCCGTTTTTCGTGAGAACAAGAAAAGTCAGAAATAAAAACATGTTGAAGGATGTAGAACAGGTTTGATGACTGCTTAAATGGTAATTCCCAAACTGCTTCCAACAGATGCTGATTGGTCACAGGATTCCAAGAAGAAAGGAAGGAAATGGGGAACGGAAGGGGATCACGAATCCTTTTGACAAAACCTGAAGAACTCAATGATCTTGGATGAAGGAACCCCAGCAATAAGAAATCGGTAAGTCGAGCTCAAATCTGACCAGAACCCACTGGTACTGTTGGCAACTTGAGGTGTGTCATCAAAAAAACCAAAAATGATGAGAAAAGTCACCCCGAGAATAAGGGACAGTTAAGAGTTGGGAAGGGAAGGATGGAAAATGGTAATAGAAAGCATATGAGGCTCTGATTGAGTCAAGCATGAAAAATATTGGTAAGGGTAAACTGTTGTTGGATCGATGCCACCCGTGACTCTTTTTGACTCTTTTGTTTCTGGGATCATGTCAAAAACATATTGCCTCAGAAATGGGGCCATATGTAAATCCTGAAGCTAAGTCAATGACAAACGGACCAAAGACAAATCCCCATATTGACCTAAAAGGTCCCAACAACAAAGAAACCACGTATGCAAAGTCAGAGCCGAGGATTACAAACAGGCTAGTGTGGAGGAAAAAGGAAAAGGATATCCCAAAAAACCCTCAGGATTTCTGTGGAGAGCCTCAGAGAAGAGGTTTAGAGGAGAAGGATACCATAAAGAGTTGTAAGGGTAAGATAAAGGTGAGAATTCTTGGCATATGTCAGACTGACAGGTGATTGGGAAGCCACCCCCCAAGCGAGCAATGTGGAACCTAACAATAAAACAAAACACGAACGTAATAACAGAAAACATTTATTAAACGTTTCGGGATCGTCATTATTACATCCTCACTAACCGACAGGTACAAAACAAACAAACAATATTTGTAATTACAACAGAAATACATACAAAAGAAATAAACAATTCAAATATAGAAATATAACATGATAAAATGAAAAGTGAAGCACAAGTGAAATAGTTAAAATAAGTTTATATCCAGTGATGCCTATGTGTTATTTAGGGATGGAAGATTTAAACCTATGTAATACTCCTATTGGTGGAGAAGTGGCACAAGATGATTTGCATGAGAGACACAATGGAATCATTCAATTCCAATAAGGGAGAGCAGGAGGTTTGTGCCATGCATAAAGAAAGTTTGCAGATAGAAGGCAGGACTGAACGAGAAAGTAAGTTCCATATTAGAAAGTTCTTTCAGATACCAAATATTTATACACTCTGATTATGGAGACGTGTTAAGACCTGCCATTGCAAAACAAAAGAATATAGATCAACCTAGGGTAACAAGACCATTCATAAAAAGACTTGCAACAAGTCATACCCCAGCCAGAATAAGCAAAGTGCTGCACTCTCCAACCGCTAAGAATCCACAGTGAAAAATGCCATCCATGTGTGCCAGGTAGAAGTGTGCAATATAATCAAGAAGAATCTCCATCTGGAAAAGCAGCACAAGTGTACACAATTTGCTTCCACGATATATCCATTCATCTATCATATACCTCAAGTAGCTGGAGTATGAAATGGAATTCATGCTATTCCAAATGAAGGCATAACCAAATGCAGTGCCTATGGATGCTAGAATGGGCACTCAGAAACAAACATTCTTATACAATAGACTGAATATGTAAACCATTCAGGAAGGTGTGGGTGCTTTGGAAATGACAGCTTTATGATAGAGCCTTATACAATGGAAAAACAAGCTGCAGGGTTATTGTTAAGATACACGGTCATCATATATAGAGCACAACTGGATATGGTGACATGTTGTGAGATTCCAAAATCATTTTAAATAATGCACTCAACCATGTATATAAAAATCAATGAATAAAAGCTCTTATTATTATTATTAAAACAACTCTACCATGCATACACATACCTTAGTAGTTTTAGTTATCTAAAACACTAATGTAAATCAAAACCTTTTCAAGATCTAGTTAAACTTTATTGCACTAAATTGTTCCTGACATTCAAAATAGTCAATATCATTCTACAACTTCATGTAATTGTATTTACTGTTGTCAAGGAATGCACAATCTACCACAATTACTTAGCAAATTTGAAAAAAATAACTGTTACATCCTATAAACACAAAATCACAGTACACTATAACCTACAACAATGAAAACTAGCAATTACAGTACAGTGGTTTCTGAAAGAGCACAATAAAAATAGAAAAAAATTATTTCTTACATTTCCATCAGCTAGTGCTGAGATAACATTGCCCAGGGCAGACAGAGATTTGTTAATATTCTTGGCTTCATCCAAAACCATTCCTTCAGCCCCTGTTTTACTCACCTATAAGAAAAGCTTATTACTGAAATTTCAAATACCAGAAAGTCATAGAACCAATGTCTATTTACATAATCTAAACAGAGGTAAGACAAATTAGTCTATTTAGAAAATCTTCATGATCAACTTATCCTGTTTCTCATCGTGGTTTAAGAATGCCCCATGCCTAGCTATGTGATTTTTAAGTGAAAAAAACATGAAAAATGTTTCAGAAACATTTTATGAAGAGAAACTATAACCCAAGAGAAAAATTCTACAACTTATTGGAGAAGATTAATTTGATGAAGTCCTGTCTCTGAGCTGAGATTTTAATCATATGCTACAAAACAAAAACTAAATATCCAAGATGACCTAATAAATTTTTTAATACATGGGTTTCACTGACTACAAGAATTAAAAGTTCAAACCTTTTATAATTTGCCTCAAAAGATTTTAAAAGGCATTTGTAATAAAGATTGATGTGGGTGAAGACCAGGCTAAAATACAAATAAAGATCTATTTGACCAAGCCTATAATTTGTTTTAACACTATTCCTTTTATTCTTATTGATTTGGTTATTTCCTCATTACTTGATATCATAAAACATCTAACTGGTATTAAAAATTCTCCTTTTTTAGAACATTTTTTGAAGTTTCACTGTTATTACTATATCTAATTTTACATTTAATAATTACAATACTACAAGCTACTTAGTAATGTTCTGGCATTTCAAAACCATACAATACCTTATGAATATTCCTCAGAAATAAAAATTTATGTATGAATTACATATACAAAGTGACAATTACATTTTTTGCTTTTCAGAGGCTTGCAAGATTTTTTGCTGAAAAGAAAATTCTACATCAAAATGAACACAAAACATTATTGTACAATGCACAAAATAACTAACAATGAAGCATAGGAAACAACAGAACAACAATGACAAAACACTAGAAAACAATACTAATCCAATATCACAATTATGCAATAAGAAGGACCAATATGTTTTCTAGATTGAAATTGCTCAGTTAAAAATAGTTATTTTAATATATAACAGTGCAAAATCATTTTTGAGTGATTAACGTTTTACAGGAAAGTGATAATCATCTTCTTTATAATCCAACTCATGTTTTACCACAAAATATTTTCATTTTTTAAAGTAGAATTTAAATTATACATTCTACAATCATGCAAATGTATCAAGTGACAAAATCATAAACAAAAATATAGTGAGTGTGTGTGTGTGTGTGTGTGTGTGTGCAAGCTGTACATGGTCAAAATTGCCTGTATATTTGTGATCAAAAGAAAGTTTTTTACAAAGTTTACAGAAAAAACAGAGGTGGTAAAGAGCTCAATTAAATTATCTTATCCAATGTTATGTTCTTGACATTAATGCTTACTTTTTCACTTCCAGCTAAATCCACCAAGTAAAGTTTACCACTAAGTTTCTTCTGATTCTCCATGTGCTCTTGTTTAACATTGATTAGGAAGACACTATGACTTCTAGAGCTATGTTCATTCATGTCTAGGATTATAAAAACAAAATTCCATTTTTGAAAATCATTATCAGTGACGTAATTCTTACATGATCTTAACTTTTTTACATATATTTCCTTAATAAAATTTCCCTTTTTATCATCTGAACACAAGAGTATCCTTATCAATCATGATAAAAATATATTAATGAATATTAAGAGTTACACTACTACACAACATTACTTTTGGACGGTTTGCAAAAGTACATGTATTTTTAAATCATCTACTGAGAATAAATCTTATACTTCATTGATACTTTGAACAACAGTAGAGCAATGACAATAATCACAGTTATGATATATCAATGCAAAGATACCTTTACAAATTCTTATTGATACATAAATATCAAAGAGAGAAACTCAGACACTAGACTGTTAAAAAAATGTATACAATTCACAATTTTAAAATACATAGAACAGTAATGTGCATAAACCATGAAACCTCAAATCCACAGACTGGCACATTAATGAGCCTCACTGATTTACTATACAAACAAGATGCAATAAAATATGTTATCATAAAAAAAGATATTAGTAGATATAATAATCAGATAAAATTAATATCCAGCTTTTCTTTTTTAAATCATTTTTCCATTATAAATACTATCCTTCTAATGATGAATCACTTTACATAACTTGTATGATAAATTTGCATTCCTACATTCAGTGAAAAATATCTGTTTAGACCAAAATTTTTATTTTTGGTGTAGTATTAAACACTTATTAAAAGTCTATTTATATCATTTCTTATTTGTTAACTTGTACTAAGAATAATTATTTCTCAAACAAATTGTATATATTATCATGATTACTCTTATATAAATGTATGTTATATCTCTCCCCCTATATAATCAGCATTTGCCTTTCTGGTATTGCTTCAATATCACAAAATTATAATATTTAAATTGAGTAATTTATCTTAAGCACAGTAAAACATTTAGAACAACTTATAATCATAACTAATGGTATTAACACTGAATAAATATTTCAGAGATTAAATTTTTCTCAATTCATTGACTCTCAATTATTTACAATAACTGAATTACCATTACATTCTCACAATAATGTGCAGTACTTTATAAAAAATCAAAAGTCTCAACATTTCAGATTCTTAATACACATTTCACACTTGAAATACAGTTAAAAACATTGCAGTTTATCTTTCCTGAAGCATCTTAGGTTTTAAAAAATATTATCACAGTACTCAGAAGGATTTATCACTAAATAGTTTAACACAGTCAAAAATTAATTTCAGTTATACACAGAAAACATTTTGGGGTTTGGGGAATTATATCACCAAATGTAAGTGCCTGTAACAGTCATTAGTATTAGGAGTACCAATATATTAAATTACAAAGTAACTTTGACAAGTCTGTCCCATCAATTAAGGTTTTCCTTCAGAGCTAACTATTATTGAGTCACACCAATAGATGAATATGTTATGCTGCAATTAGTCTATGATACACTATATAAGCAGAGCCTATGTAGATAATATCCCTTTTGCATTGATAAGTTCTTATGTGACATACATTTAACTTATTCTTCCAATTAGAATTCCTATACTGTTATGAATTTTCCTTAGCAATTGGTCAAGTTAATATTTAAGATTGTATACAAACCACTCATAGCATCCACAGTAACATAGAACTAGTAATAGTAAGAACTAATTCACTGATAATAAACAATTCAGACAGATATAGCACCATTCCCAAATTTATTAGTGAGCTCTAGGGAATTGTTCAATAATATGATTTGTATTACCCAAAATATAATTCTGAGTAATGTAAGCTCACACAAGTTTGCGTTGTTGCTGTTTTATAGACTTATGTTTGTTGCTTGTATTGTTCTTTTTGACAAATATACCTCACATGCAAAAAACATTACATAGTAAAGCTAAATTTGTGGTGTTATAACTGAATCCTTATTTCAAGTTTTGGTAGCCAAATATACTAAAAATAAATGAAAATGAAGTAAGAATAAAAATCCCAATTATTTTCTGATGTTTAGTTGACCAATGTGTGAAAACCTACACAAATTTAATAGTACAGAAAATGCTGTTTGGACAGTTTGTTGTGAATATAGTAATCTAGTATTTCAAGATCAACACTTCTAATATGTATTCAAAACACTTCAAGTGAAGAAAATTAGTGTAAAATACATTGTGCATGAGAGATATTACCTGGTACGCCATCATGCAACAGAGTTTGTTCCCATGAAAAAACAAAACATACATTCATAGTTTTCCTCAGCCACTCACAAAATTAAGAGTTCTCACACATGTAAAAAATACCAACTTTATCTGCATAACGAGAGCATCATGATTTGTGATACTGGTTTCTTTTTTCATTTTATATGTTACGGGAAAGCTATCACCCCTACCACTTAGTCCTAATTGTTAATGTCCTATTCTTTACACCATCAGATCATGTAACCTGAGACAAGTTACAGCTATATTGTCTATTTAGAAAAGTACCACTGAGAAACAACAAATCATTATAAATAAGTGAACAAAAGAAATGCCAAGAAATGTATAAAACTACACTTCTTGTAGCCTAATAAAACTTTGGAAATAACAATTAATTAGAATTACATAAAACATGAAAAAATCCCAAGACTTATTGAAAACTGTTATTTTAAAATGCAGAAATATTCATAACTATATAATGAGCTGTTTTTTAAAACCACTTGCTAGGTTCCTTACTAATCTTTGTACTAATAAAATTTCTATAACACAATAGACATTCTGTGAACTGAAAAACAAACAACTCACCTGTATTTCATAAACAGTGTAAATTAAGTTTAGAAAAACTGAAATTTTAGTACAGCTAATTTCTGTTGTATATAGGTTTCTGCAAGAATTTCAACAGTGACAATATATGGAAGATAGTTTCAACATATGTGAACTGAAGATAAATAATATAAAACTAAATATAGTACTGTGCAAAAAGTGTTAGGAAAAGAGAATATTTTGTCATTCTTTCCATTTTATGGGGCTAATTCTTCCATACCATTACAGAATGTAAATTTCAACATTATGGTAATGCTTCACTCATCCCTGTTGACAATTGAAGGAGCCAGGGTGAGAATACTTATCATTCTTTAGAATTCCCAAATACCTGTACTAAGGGCATGTCATAAGTATTCTGCTTAAATGAACATACTGATCAAATTTAGGGTTTGAAATAACTGTCATGGTATATATATATATATAGAAAGAAGCTAGTAAGGAGCTAGCATATGGTACCAGTATATACTAGAAGAAATCAATTTAATAGCACTCCTCAAATAAACCTAGATAAAAACAGTGTTTAACACTATATATTAAGTTTTGTTCTCATGCCACAGCCCAAAAAGCATAAAGAATTGTCAGTAGAGCAGATAGTTTGCATAAAAGCTTTACATGATGCTGGTTGGACTCTCCGACAAATTTCTGCAGACTTGAAATGCTCCCCAAACACTGCTAATTATACCCAAGATCGTGAGACTGAGACAGGTAAATTTGAAAATAAGAAAGGAAGAGGCATAAAACCTAAACTCAATGATACTGATGTTAAGTATCTTCGTTTATGCAACCTTCGGGACAGAAGGAAGACTGCCACTGATCTCAAGCATGAGATAAATGACCATGTGCCAAATAACAAAAAATGTGTCCAGATATACAGTATCAAGAAGACTCAACAAAAATTTAATATTTGGTCATATAGCAATTGAAAAACCTTTATTTTGATCACCAAATATTGTCAAAACACTGAAATTTGCTAAAAATTACAAAAAAGTGGACTGTTGATGATTGGAAAAGGGTGTTATGAATGGATGAGTTCAAGTTTGAAATATTTGGTTCAAAGTGTAGGTTGTACCTCTGGTGGAAGAAAGGTGAAAGCTACCTCAATGCATTGCACCTATCATGAAGCATGGAAGAGGCAATGTGATGGTTTGGGGGACAGAACCATTATTCCATCTATTTGCAAATATCACCAGCACAAGTACCATCAGATACTGATCCATCATGGTATACCCAGTGTTTTGTGTATTATTAGTAAAAGATTCTACTACCAAGAAGATAATGACTCCAAAAATTCATCCAACCTGTACAGAAATTACTGAGCTAAGAAAGAATCTGCTGGAGTCATTTAAATGATGCAATGGCCACCACAGAGCCTCAATCTCAACCCAGTTGAGCAGATCTGGGATTTGATAGATCAAAAACTTTACAAATTAAAAGTTACTTCCAAATAAACTTTATGGGAGTGTTTTAGAAACATTTGGAGTAAAATCCCAAAGGACTGTCTGCAGTTATTAAAGCAAAAGGGGGACACCCAAAATATTAATTGTTTGCTGAACTTGAGCACTTTCACCAAGTTTCTGTTGTACTAAATCAGAATATTAATAAAATTTTGATGCTTCATCTGTGATTTACCTTCCATGGTTCTTTGAAAGTAGCCTGAAATCAATGTTTGACTTTGTCCTAACACTTTTGGACATTACTGTACATGTGCACAATCAGAACACATAAACAGTTTGTATGACCATGTTTACAAAAAATCAAAACCTTTTATCATTTATAGTTCATTTTACATCAGAATTTAGATTTTTTGCATTCTTGACAGTGAATTGAGAAATAAGTGATCTCATACCAAAAGCATTTTCGCCTGATTTCAAATCAATGTGTTAAATTGGACACATAACTGCCATAACAACAGGGGTCTCATGCTTCTCACCTAACAACCAAAAGAACTCTCCAGGAGACAGGGTGTATAGGAAGAAACAATTTCAAATTTCTTTTATTCAGGAGCTCCATGTAGTAAATAAGTAATAGTTTCTAGAAAAAAAACCAGCTGACCTCACAAAAACTAGTCATATTCAATACAGATTGAAAGTACAAAAAGTTGCAATCTTACTTGATTTTTTTTCCGAAAATAAAACTGTTATTCATGCAATGAAATAATTGCAGAATATTGAAAGCATTTATAAACTCTTTTTGTAATGTATGTTTTTAACATTCTTTATATTATGTAATAAAAACTAACATCAATCCAAATTTTGTGAGGGTGAACTTACAGTTGGAGAAAAACAATAATAATTATTCGTAACATAAAAGATGATTCATAATATAAATTAAATACAAAAAAATAATTTGCTTGAAAATACACACACACACACACACAATAACAAATTTAAAATATCTTTGAAATTCATGGTTAGTAGGTGAGAATCTGCTGGAATGTTTCTTTGCGAGAGATTTTTTTATCCCGCTTTAATTTCTGAAAAAGATCAAAGATTCACCAAAATGTTGATTTAAAGAAACCTTCTAGAAAGCTGTGTATTTTATATTTCATAAATTTTCTATTTCTTCACTTCTTTTATCCTCAAGAATATAGTTTGGTTCACATAAAACTATGCTTCTGGTTATTCTTGGATCTTTTATTTCTGTCAACAGTGCCTGAAAATAAAACTGACCCAGTTTAGGGAACATCTTTTTAATCCAAAAATTGTCCTCTTGAGTGATTCATTCGATACTTATGTCGAGGTGTCTAAATAATGAAATAAAAAATTTTCCCAGTTATATCAAATTGACCCTGTACTTGGTAATAATAGATATGTGTATCTTTCAGTTTAAAGTATTATCAACTGAAATACAACAGAAATCTTTAATTAACAGTTCAGCCTGTAAAAAAGTTATCCCCTTAGCTTTCAGTAGGCACTTAACTTCAATAATACTATCATACCCTACAATGGCATCTGGGGAGGCTGCTAACTACCCTTTCTCTATGTCCACATTCCTGTACTTGGTTTTCAGTTTTATTAAAATAATCAAACAGAGCATTTCTTTTATTGCTTTAACCATCAGTTGCAGCATTGTTACTTTTTTCCTTATAAGAGTTGTTGTACTGACCTTCTTTTCTTTCAATTTCAAGTTGTTGCTCTTTTGTGACCTTAAATTATTTCCCAATTCATTTTTCAATTCTAGGAACTCTTGAGTCTGGAATAACAAGCTTTTCTGACTCAGGCCTATAATCTTTCATTCCATTTTATCCACAAATAGCAGTTTCATGACTTTCTAGCAAAGCTCATTTGCCACAGGAGCTAAAAGTCTTTTGCAAACCATCATCCTTTGAGTCTTAATTTTGATTGTATACTTGTGTAAGTCTAGCATTAGAAGCTAATATGTTCCATTACATTTTTAAGGTTGCTATAGTATCATATGTATAATATTTTAGTTTCTGTATATATTCTGAAAACGAAAATCACTTCCCCCAAAGCAACAAAATAGTTTTATGCAATATTACAGGAGTTATTTTTTTAAACCGAACTTTGATTTCAAGGGGGTAAGTTGTGTCAGAATTTCAGTATTTATTGCTCAAATCCCCTTTTTCTTGTTGGTTAAAATATCTTCAAGATTTTGGAGTATGACCCAGAAAGAGAAATCAGCCACAATTTATGCCAAAAGTATATTATAGCACTAATTTCACATAAAATATTAGTTTTCAATTCTGTGGCACACAAGTTTCAAAACATAGGGAATAATAGTAGTGAAAGAACATCTTGTCAGGTAATGCTACTTAAACAAAAACAAAAACTAGAAAATCCTTTCATACTATTATATAATTCATTTCACTGTACAGAAGAATAAAATAACTTACTTGTGACAGCTATATGTCTGTTGGATTTCCCCTCATCAATAACTTCCATCACTTCTTCAGGGCTGGTTACAAACCTCTCTGTTGCCCCCTGATATTGACCAAAGTAACATTTATAAAACAAATACATGTTGATAATATAATGAATATTTTCATAGGTGTTAATAATCATCAGTTTCCTTAAAAGGATCAAAATTATATAATCTGAAATAATCATAACATTTACTCTTAGAATGTTTGCAAATACATTAAAACACATGTATCTAATAAACAAAGCACACAGCTTTTTTCTCAAAAGAATAAACATGAAAAAATGTTCTCCAGTATAATTTTATAACATCATTTTCTGAGCATTTTAATTCAACTTAAAGCAGTTTATGTTAAATTAAATTTTCTGTTGCATTAAATGCTTACAACTCATGACTCATTGATGTAGAAACTTATCAGAAGAAAGCAAAAACAAAAATTTAATGTACTCAAACTTACAGTTTAACTAATATCCCAATATTTAAAATAGCAATGTTTTCAACCTAGAGAAAAACTATGATAAATATTCAAAATTAACAATCCATACAAAGTCAACTACAAGGCATTTCTAATCTCAACTTCCACAAAAGAACTAGAAGTATTTTAAAATGAGATTGAATATAAGTGTGTCAAATATCAAGTGTGATATAAGAAAATTATTGTATTAAATGTCATCTGGTTTTTAAGCATAACTTAACTATGTATATCAAAAAATATGAACTGAAAACAATTGCAATACCCAATACACAACAAATGTTGACAATCCCATCAACAAAAAGTTCAAGACATTTGACAAAACTTAAGATAAGTGAACTTGATAAATTAAAGTTATCATTTTCTTCATCAAGTAGAAATATCAATATTTCAACATGAATTCTTCAGTCATATTTATTATTGACACTAAATTTAAAAGTTTTATCTTGTGAAATTAGATATATAGTTGTCATACACAATTATAGCTACTAAATATATTGTAACATAAAATAGCAACTAATTTCATGTATTAAAAGAAAATCTTACCTTGACATAAGGAACTCTGTTTTTGTCTTCATGAACTGATAAGTTAGTTTTTGTAACTGGAAAAATCATATGTTAATATGTTAGTTTATGAAAATGATATAAAAACAGTGGCATATTAAACTTTATTTCACACTGAAATAATCTTCACTGATTTTGGATTACAAAAATAAAGGGGGGGGCTCTAATTTTTAAAGAGTGAAGAAAAACTGTCCTTGACACTTACAACTGGTAATGTGGAGCTATAAGTGGTACCATATTTTCAACTTTTGTTCCCATTATTAAAGTAGGTAGATGAATACAAAAACATATATCTATTTAATCTGTATAGCTTAGTACACAAACAGTTAATTTAGTTCAACAAGACCTTAAAACATTTTTCAGTTGATGTGTAGATAAATTTGTGTAATAAATTATGCAGGTAATTATTTAAAATCTTGAAATATCCTTGTATTAAGTATGCAAAGGTTAACGTTTTCGTAAGTCGAAAATGTATTTCCAATAATACTGCCACTCACACTTAAAGCTATTACTCGAATGCTAGGGTTTCTTTTCCTTTGCACATCTAAGCATTGGTCTGATTTTTTTCTAGCTTGCTCCAGTCAGTCTTTTATTCCCCACTTAATTGCCCTTGGCAATATCTGTTTCCTGACACTCTCCACCTACTTCAATGCACCCAATATCTTGGTACTATATAACTATATACAAGCATGCCCTTCAGATAATATTGTCACTTTTTCAAGACTGACCCAATCTGCTGTCTCAAACATTGGCTCTTAGTGGGGAGGAAGGGTGGGAGAGTATGGAAATACATACTTACCTCCACTTTCACTACACGTAGAATCCTATGCTGATGAGGTGGAGGAGTCACTGAGGGCATTATCCATACAGAATTTGTTTGCATAAATTGTGGTCGTCCCAATAGAAGATTAGTACCCTAGTAGAGGAACCGCACTACATCCAGAATAGGTATGTTTTTTTACTCGGAACCAAAATCATGCACCGTGGGTAGAATCTGATGTGATCCGTCATCACCATTGACCAGGCTTAAACCAGGTAGACGAGGTCCCACTGCTCCAGGTTGGAAGTACAGGGCCATGACTGCTAAATGAGTGGATCCCAACCTGTAGCTGTGGAGTGATGCATTCCGAGCCACCAGAATCATGACAAGAAGGTAAGCAACACCAAAGTGGACAAACCCTCTCCTCAACCTGAAGAAGTCCAGAAGGCAACACCCCAAACTCAGAATGATGGGATTCTGTATGCCATACTCAACCTGAGGAAACAGAACTCATCAGGTCTGGTAGAATTATATACACTCATCCTCACTCCCCCAACTGTGTGGGCAAGATAAATTCCACTTGCCTCCAGAATTGTGGTGAGGAGGTGGAACAAACTGTGCTCAACCTAAAACCCACGATAGGACCACTCTGCATTCAGAATTCCAAGGAGACAATGAACTCTCTTCCATGAACAATATACTGAACCAATGTTGATCAAAAAGAAGGGCCATGCTCAACCCAACCAGATAGCTGAACATCAAATCTGAACCAGTGTTACGAGTAGATTCCCACATAGGCTGGTGCCACTTCTACTGACATCTGGAAAAAAAAAAAGATACAGAGTTCTGGGTAAGAGTGCCCCAACGTTGCCCTCTTCTCCAGGAGTGGAGGAAAGTCACTTGAAAATTCTGAAGAAATAATCTCTGTCCACCACCGCAATGACTGGAAAATGGGAGTGGTAAGGACTTCCAAGCCCCGCTAGTAGAATCTAGGGGGTAATGCACTTTGGGGAATCCTGAGGAACAATGTTCTGGAAATAGTAAAACAGTTGAACCAAATTCCCTAAACTTTAAAAGGAAACTGACCTCGATTTATGCAATCCACTAATTGGCAGGGATGGGCAGGATCCTCTTATGCTTTACTCGTGATATTCCATGTGTGGTAGTCAAGCATAGTACAGTAATACTACTCGGTCTGCCTCTAGGTGGTCTTATGGAACACTTCATTTCAACAAAGCAACCCAGATAAAGTATACTGTGTTTGTGGTTGCTAGTGCAGATTTGGTTTGATAAAAGTACACCTGACTGGGCAAGAGCATTTGCCATAAAGTGGAATCCTCAGACAAAGAGGTAAGGGACCCTGAAAATGAAAGAAGAGATTAGTAATGAAAATACTCACCCCTTTGTATGATTTAGCAGATGTGGTTAATATAGCTACATGGGGTAGTCAAAAACCCTCAGAAAAAGATACTGCCAGATCATACAAATATGGTGAGATAAAAGTATTGGGGGAGGCCCACACTCCAGCCTGCACAATGTCCACTGGCAGGCAATTCAATTGAGCCACTAATGACATAAAAATGTGATGAATCTGATGAGATATGACTTGCAGAAGTCTCCTTCCCCAAAGAAGCCCAGAATAAGCAATGTAGATCAATTTTCTTACCCACCTCATCAAGGTAACTGGGGATAAATCCAGGGAAACTGAATGGACACAATGAATAAAAAGCTTTAGTGATTGTGTCCAAAAGCTTTAGTGTGGTCAACCTAACACCTCAAGGCCCTCAATGGATCTACTCGGTCTTTGAGGTGAGAAATATCAGTCAGACGAATCAGTGAAAAGGAATTAAACCCTTCCCTGGTTACCAATGTCTTAGGTAAGAAGGACATAGGTAGAATGATAAAGCATCCTGTGCATGTGCAGTGCAAATAACTTGGACCGGCAAAGCATCATTGTCCATCCCTAGGCCCTTGAATTCCTGATAATTGAGATATGCAACCCATCCCTGAGGTGAGGCATTCAAGAAAAGATGGATCTCTGGATAAGGTGGTGGCAGAGGAACACCGATCATACAATTGTTCCAATCTAACCACCACTCAACGTTGAAGATGGTGATCCTGAATAAGAAGACTGGGGAATCCAGTGGATCACTGTTCATGATACTTTGGCCACATAGAGACCACTGAAGGGATTTCATTTGTGCTCATCCCAAAGGAATGAGGGACTCAAGTGATGCCCATATCCATAAAAAAGAAAGAAACATCCGTGCAACGGGAGAAAGAGACATGAGTAATAGATGGACTGCACGACCCATAGCATGGAGCCTGAAGAAATTAAACTGTATATAAAAAAAAAAGATAAGTTACCCAGTCACAGCCTCACCAAAGTTTGAAGAACAGCAACAGCATAGAAATCTATCCAGATCATACAGGGTGTAAACAGCTATCCAATAAAGGTAATGAGAGATGAACGTATAAGGTGTAGTCCACAATCTTGACTGAAGATTTTCTTCCAGCAGACGACAGAGATGAAAAACTAGGGAAAAGGTAAGGTGCCTCATTTGATGCAACAACACTTGGAACAGAGTTCGAGTATAAGGAGATGATGATGAATAAGCCAAACTCAATTTGTAAGGTTGGAAGAAGAAAGGTCACAAACAGAGGAATGTTGCCAGGGGATGAAAAGATAGAAATGGAAACCACGGAAGGAAGCTGTGTGAGCAATGTTACAATGAATAGAATGTATGGGACATAGAAATCTATCCAGATGATACAGGGAGAAAAGGAGGGAGATGAAAGGAAGCAAAATTGGTGAGAAGAAAGAATTTCCCTCACAACCCGCTGAAGTTTTGGAGAGGAAAGATTTATCCGGATAAATGAGAACAAAGGTGGAATGGTAAAGAGAGCATGAAAATTCAATGGCAACCACAACACCCACAAGCGAACAAGAATAGGAAATAAGTCATAAGGGGCATATGAAACAAAGAACAGAAGGGCTGTCAGATGTTAAGTTACGTCCAAACTTCTATCTTACCAAGTTTAAAACATAATACAAAAATTGTGCTAAACAGTTTAATATAAAAGAACATATAAAGTTATGAAATTAGACTTATTAACTTACCATCTAAAAGATCCTTCACCTTGTCAAGATATATTTCAAAATAAGATACCTAAAGAAAGAAACTTTATAGCTGTATGCTGTATCTAAAACAATAATTCTGCTATACATTCCACCATTTTTTTTATAATAAAAAATTGTATATATATACATATACATGCTTGTATATTCGTTTACATGAAACATTTTTTGCACAACCATACATTAAATTTCAGAAGTTTGTTTTACAAAATTATTTGAATGTTGCTGTAAAAATTGAATCTCAAAAAATTTTTCATGTAAACAGAACCTTCTTACTATAAAATGTCTTCTGCTTTGATGACATACTTTTACAAACCAATGAAAATTTCTAAAAACTGTCTGCATCAAAATTATGGTTTGTAGAAAAAGAATAATAATGGTATTATATACCTGTTGCATTGATTTAGTAATGCCTCATCTTGATTAATTTTGTTTTAGTAAGAAAAAGAACCCACAATCGACGAATGTTTGCTGTCACGATTGTTGTTTGATTGATTTTATTCATATAATTTGAAAAAAGCTTTTGTTACAAAATGATTATGATTTTATGATATTTCACTATGCATACAATTCAGTATATTTAGAGGTTGGTGCATGCATATGATAGTATCTCCTGTGTAAGAAAGTTGATTCTCATGAAAAATACTTTGTGCTAATCATACTTCACTATAAACATAACCAATGATATACAGTATGTATATTTATTCTAATTATTTCACAAATACCAACCTTTATTAAGAATACAACTTGTGTTTCAAGAAGAAAAAAGGAACATCAAAATTAAAGTTCTTTAAATTTAAAGTCAAGTACTTGTAGCCATGTTTAATTGATATTAATTTATTCTTTATATCTAACAATAGTAAAAGATACTCAATAATATATTTAAAATATAGAAAAGTATATATATCACTGATGAATACAACCAATAAAATTATTTGAAGACACTTAATCATGCAAAATTTTTTACAAGTTTTCTATCTACATATAGAACAAAAATATGTAAAATAATCAATAAATAAGTCTTAAAGAGCCATGGATAGAATTTCAGTTTACCTTAATATGGAACTCCACATTTTCATCCATGGAATAAATGTAATTAAATATATCATTAACAATACGTGGAATTACGCCCTGTTTGATTGGATCCTCCAACACACCCTGTAGAATAAAACAAAAAAACATTTGGTTTCAATTTCAACAAATGTGAACACTACTGATGTATAAAAATGGCAATCTATACATTTACCTACTTTTATAGATATGGTGGACAAGCACGTAGCATGGAAGTACAGTTACTGTATGTGTGTACACAGAATACAATGATCAATTGTATTTAATACCAAGAACACAATATTTCTCTGATGAAAAATCAACAAAAACATTTAATTGCATAAAATTCTCAGTGTACAATAAAAAAGTACACACATTATTAGTATCTTTTGAAATGTTTTACCTACAAGCTCATCCTCATTAAAAAGAAGACAAATGTTTTGAATTATTTGAGTTTTAGGCTAAAATAAAGCAACTGTATATACAAAGGGCTGGATCTAGAGTTTAAGGGGCCATAGGCAAATATGGCATGCAGGGCACTCTTGGCCCCTTATATAAGCAATTCTAAACTAGCATCCAAAGGAAAATCGACAACCAGTCTAATTCCTAAAAAATTATTTTCAAACATTCTTTAAGTAGCATATTTATTTTCAAAATTCATTTATACAATTCATATACTGACATTTGGAATAAATAAAGAATAGTTACGAAATGAAAAATATATCATTGTATATGTCAATAAATGAAATACATACAAACTTTTAATTCAACTCACATAAAATATATTTACACTACTCACATTATTTATTTTATAACAATGATTTTCTACTCTACTGCACACTAAAGTCTTTGATCAGATCAGAAATGTTTAGAGTTTTATACATCATTTTCTACAGATAACATTGCCAGCATATCTAATCTTTCCCGAGATATGGTAAAACTGATGTAAGTTTTGATAAGCTTAAGACCAGAAAAACTTCTTTGTGCTGAAGCAACAGTAATTGAAATAGTCAGAACTATGGGAACTGCTACACATACATTTGGTTAGATCTTATGGATGCTTTTTTAGACTCATTAGTACAATCATCCTCACTTCATAATTGAACATTTTATATTTATTTGAAAGTTTTAACTCAAAACCTGTTTCTCTATATTCATCAATCCATTTTGAAAACTCTTTTATGTGCTTTACAGTGTTATCCAAATGCATAATTTACTAATAGTATTTACATTTATTAAAGTATCATACAATACAATAAGAGAAACTAAAAAATCATGACATAATTTCATCGCATTCACTATGAAGTTTGGGATCTCCCTTACAACTTGCCAATAGTTCCAGTAAAGCATCACAGATCTCTTTGAGCTGAAATTGAACAGCTTTCACACTATCCAAGCAGCACTTGCCATCTACTTTCTGAAAGTATGTTTTTAGGGAATATCTACCTTTTCTTTTAATACATGTTATCTGCTTGAAGATGCTGAAATTAAAGAATAAAGCCTTTGAAGTAAGCCAAAAATATTTCAGCCCTTGTACAAGATGAAGCAGCATCTCTCAAGGTTGAATTCCAACTGTGACAACCATGGGGACAGAAGAAAGTTCATGGATTGATTTGAAATATTCTTGCTTTTACACCATTCTTTTCACCATTATCATAGCCTTGTCCATGACAATCTTTGATGTCCAAGCCTAGGTTTTCTATTTCTGCCAAAATGATTTTAGATAGCCCTATACCTGTAGTTTCTAGCACAAGCATAAAACCAATAAAATGTTCTCCAATCTCCCCAGCACTGCATACAACATGGGGTAATATCATTGTCATTTGTTCAATATAACTCATGTCTCTCACACAGTTTAAAGTAAATGTGAAAATTTTCACCTCCCTCACTTTCTCTAATATCCTACCTTTCACTTTTTTAGCCATTAGATCAATTAATTAATTTTGGATGGTCTTACTGAGTGTGTATTTCATTCCTTATAACACTACCTAAATGTTCTTGTATGGCAAGATAAAATTTAGCCAATAAGTTAACCAATCAAAGGAAATTGCAACAATTTTTACAGGCCCATTCATATGTTCTTCAGCACTAAGAAAGGCTAAGCTATGTGATGCCACAAACTGCACTATAGCAAGGAGTCTTTCTGTATTCAATTACATTGTTTCTGTAATTCCATTTGAGTTTGTGCATGTTTGTTAATTGTATTCCCACTATTTAGTCACTTTTCAAAGTCTAGCAATTCCATTACACATTCTTTATGTTCTTTATTATTTCCATGTGATTTTCAAGTCAAACTCAGGTTTTTTTCCAGTCTGAACAACCTTGAGAACTAAGAGCATTCCTTGTTGGTAATTTTGAAAATAAACAAGCAAAGCAAAACAGACAGTCATTACTTTGAGAATACACCAACCAATGCTTTTCACCATTACTTAAAATACATTTGTAATGATATGAACTAAAATGTATTTTTTCATTATCTATAGGAAAGTTATCATTTTCTCTGAAGATGTAAATCAAGCCTTCTTGAATAACATTACATACTTGATTATTGTTTAAGGCAAAACCCACTCACCAAAATCATCTGAATTGATAAAGTAAACAGAACTGCCTTCAATATTATCAATTGTTTCTGCTGAAGAAATTGAATTACCACTTACAATTGTATCCAAATCCTCACATCACACTGAGTTATTAGGAACACTTATGAAAGTTTCACTTTGCTTTCACAATATTTATCACATTCTTATTAGATTATTCACACATTTTCCTTATCAATATTATTAGAATAAGTTCTCTCAACACTATCTTTTTCAAATATTTGTTCATAGGCCCTTTCAAATGTGTTATTAAGTTTTCCAAAGCAGCACACCTCTTTCTTTTCAAAGATCCAGGTTCATATTTTCTACCTTTTTCATGATCTCGGCTTGCCATTGGTGTATAAAAGGTAAGAAGATAAGAACTATTTTTTAAATAAATTCTAACTAGATTCTGCAGATGCAGTCTAGAACTAAATTTTGAATCTCTAACTT